TTCGGACCACGTTGTTCGATGGCCTTGAAGTGGACGACGTCGTCGACGCAAAAGTAGCGGTCAAGGGCAAAGTTTTTGTGGTCGATGTTTTCCGCCCTCTGTTGGTCACCGCCCTCGGTTTGATGCTGGCCGTAACGGACCGTTTGGTTCACGTAAATCGAACCATACCTGTCCGACGACAGAAACGCATAAGTCGGACAGACCCTTACCACACGGCCAGTGCCCGATATCTTTTCCGCCTTAATTACTTTGTCCGCTGAATTCACCCTCACAGGCAACACCATTGTCATCTAAGAACAAAACTGTATTAAATTCGCATTTAAATCAAAATAATCGACAGAAGTCTCACCTACGCTAGATGAAACCAAACCGCGTAATACAGGGATGCGTAATATTATAAATTTTCTTTTCAGCGTTGAAGGGAGGGGGTCAGTGCATCCCCACCACTGACTATGCTGGACACAATTTGTTGACCTATCTTCCAGATTTACACCTACCGGTTTACAGTCTTTTTCATGCCATCAATCCACCTTTACCTTATTCTGTTTTCTGCTCTCGATGACCTCAACTATCGTCAGAGCCTTCGCTGGCAATATCTGACGTTATTCTACTCAAATATCCATAGCAATTAAAATAATATCAATTCTGCCAGCTGTTCTACGATTCATTCGTCTATTCATTCACCTTCTATAGTGCCACCCAGCTTTTCGACAATTATTTTTCACCAAGCAGCTCATCGTCATGAATGTCACCAGTAGCATGAGTTCTTTACTTTTTCGTAAGCCTCATGTCACGTATGTACCTCTATTCTTTCATGTACCCCATGCCCTCCAATTCCTATCCAACTCTCCCATTACTTCAGGATCAAAATTTGTTTCGAAATCACGGATGTATCTCCCACTCTATAATAAATTACGTAAAAGTACACAAATTCCTATGCTCAACCTAAATGTTCCCCTTATTTGAGATATTTATATTTTATCGTTTCTTTACCAGTAATCAAGGCCACGGCTTTACCTATCAGTTTGTGATGAGTAGGGCATTGCCAGTAAAATGATGCATGGAACTGACACTGCGGTATGAGTGGCGGACTGCTTAAATTCCCTATACATGCAAACCGGAGCATAAAGTTAGTGATTATTGCCTGTACGCTTTGAAATCCGGTTTTAGACGAGTTAATCTCTTATGACGACATCGAAACATCTGCCAAGCACTGCAAAGTTGCTTTGGACTAGTCCCCTACGTTAGTCTTTTTTCTGGCGATAAGATAAATTAATTATTTTAAATTTACATTTACACCTTGTGCTAATTCTAATTCTAAACCTAGTCAGCTGTCAGATATGAAGACAAATAGCGACCATAAAGCGCACGCATCAAAGATTACGGCCGTCGCATGCTTTGACATGACCACATGAAAGCAACATGGTTCGCCTATGGTTCGCAGGTCCACGACTTGACACCCGTTTTCCAGCTGGTTGCAAAGAAGCCAAATTCCTTACTCAACGGAATTAGCACAATAAAAGCTAAATATTCAAAGCATCTTTCATTTCTGTCCCTCATCCCCCCTTAGTTAATTCCTTGTTTATATTTGTGTGTAAGTTACGGCTGATAAATGTAGAATTATCCGTAACATACAAGTTAATAAAGCTGATGATCATCATCTGTACTGCATATCTGCCTACAGGCAAATGGCTACTACACACGTAACAATTTCACTGAACAC